CCCCAAAACCCCAAAACCCCAAAACCCCAAAACCCCTAATGATTTCCATATTATTGAGTTATTTCAAACAAATTTTCATCAATACAGACTAGCGAAAGAATTTTTAAGTCAGAATTGCCCAAATTAGTCCTCGAGTTCTCTTAAGATTTCTAGAGCTTTTTCAATTTCGTCAATTGAAGGAGCTACCTTATTATATCCGAGGTTGCTGATACAGTTCCTACAGTGCTTTTTGGCCAGTTCAATGGCTTTATAGAACTCTTTGCCCTTCTTTGTTGTTTTGCCCTTCTTAGCAGGCTTGTTTGGTGGAGGAGGTTTATAAGTCTCCTTCTTCTTTGGTGGTGGAGATGGTTCATCACTAGAGTCACTCCCACTTTCATCATTATCACTGCTACTTCCTGCAGATTTACTTTCCTCGTTACTCACAGCATCAGGAATTCCTAAATCTGGCTGTGGGCCAAGAGAAGGATAAGCAGATCCTCCTCCCTTTGTACTTTTTCTAGCAGGCTGTGAACTAATACCATCTCCTTCATTGAGACTATACCCATCCTCATCCTCTTCATTAGGATTCCCTCTCTTCGGCGTGGTCCCGCTCTTAAGTCACTTCATAATATCGCCTGCCTTGAACAAGCAATATTTCCTTCGTTCTTGCCACTCTTCATCATACAGCTTGATCTCTTCGAGGCACTCAATGACAAAGGCTCATTGCTTGAACGCTAGAGCGTGCAGCATGGTCACTTTCTCAGTAGTCCGTTCCTCCCGGTCAACTGTGGTGAACTGGCTCTGAACGAACTGGAAGAAGGTGTCCTTCTTCTCTTCCTCAGGGATGTTCTTGAGGTTGGTCTTCATAGTCTCGAGTTCTTCGATTTTTTTCATTGCGGTGTTCCGAATCTCCTTGAAGTCAGCCGTCTTCTTATCCCCACACATCTTCATGGCTTTCATTACTGAGTGCAGCTTTATGTAGTAAGCTGGAAGAGGATATGTTCCTTCGAGTTTTTTAACGATTTTTTCGAAATCTGTATATATTTTAGCTATTTTTAAGGCCTCTTTGGACATTTTTATTAAAAATATTATTCAGTTTTGAGATGGGATATGGGGTTTTGGGGTTTTGGGGTTTTGGGGTTTTGGGGTTTTGGGGTTTTGGGGTTTTGGGG